AGCTGACCTGAGGTCTGGGACAGAAAATGTTCTGTCCACAAAATGGCCTAGAGATAATGGCTGGCCATGTTAACTACAAACATCTCTAGACAATGTTCCATTCCCCATGAAAAAGAATCAAGGATCCCAGGAGTAAGAGCTGATAACATGTCTGGACTAGGAAATGAATAGAGTGAGTCTGGAATCAGAACACAAATCAGCTAGCAAAGCCTACAGGGAGCCACACTGCAGGGACTCAGAGGGCAACCTGAAGACTCCCACTGGCCAAAGATGGACAGTCTGAGCAACAAGCAGAGGAGTGCCACAGTGGATGAAAACAAATCAAACATACTAAGACCCTATGTCATAGGATACTAAAGAAAAAAAATCAGTGATCATTTTTGGTTGGTATTAAGAAACCAAACTGTTAGGAAAACTACTAAGAATAAAGGAAAAAGACCCCAAAATTTATCCTCCTTTTCCTCTGTAAACTGTGCTTTTTAAACTCATGATTTCTGCCTTAATGTATTATTTCATTCAATTCATTTCTAGTAGATTGGGCAGAACTGATTCTTTTAGTTAGACTTGTTTCCCCTAATAGTTGTTGGTTTGGTCAAATTTATTTATCTCCTCTCTTTTAAATTAAGAGCTTCTTACTGTACTGTTAGTTTCCATTAACAATTACTATTAACCAAACAAATATGACAAATACCAAGACTTTCTTGACCACCGAGAGGCCCTGTCTTCCTACTGAAATGCTCTAGTTATCCCCCATTCTTTCTCCCAACTGGATAAGATCTTCAAAATGTTTTCATGTCTCTTATCTTTTCCTTCATGTTTTCCATCTCTTCATCTTTCAGTCTTGTGCTTTGAGGTTATTTCTCGCGTTTGACCTTCTTTTGTAACTCAAGCCTCAATTGTGACCATCTTCTTCTTTTAAAATTTATAGTTTGAAAAACATGCTTTGAAGCCCAAGGAACTCTTTTCCAAAGCTCCTTACGTACTTTTTACCCTGTTAAATGTCAAGTATTCTTCTGCCTTCTCTAGTAGTTTTTATCATGGAGCCTATGTTCTGACGGCTCAGCTGCTTCCTGTCTCTCCTGGTGAGGTGGCAGTGCTATTTCTCCGTTGGCTCACCAGGGCTCAGCTTTGATTGCCAAGCCTCTCTGTGGTCTGTGTTTTAAGGTTGGGCTGTGAACCTTCTCCAGAGGGACCAAGGTAGAGGAAACCACTCTGCTTCTCAAGTCTTTGTCCTTCCAGCCTCAAAGTAAAGAAAGACAAAATTTGAGCCACCAATCAGATCTCTGACTCTGATCATTTGGGGAGTTAGGTAAGTGGATGTGGGTGCAGAGAGGAATGGACAAAATATATTTATAGACATCATGGTGAAAGTCAATTCTCCACACCAAGGTTTTCCCAGCATCTTCAGCTCTCTCCTCTGTGCTGGTTTTGATGACTTATTTGCTCCAGTAGGGTGCAGGGCAGCAACCCTGAACCACCTAATCGGAGCCATACTATGTGGGAAGGAGCAGGGGACGAGAACAGAATTTCCCAGCAAACCCATACTGGACATGTAGAATTAAATAACAAATAAACTGAGTCATTCACAGTTTAGGAATTTAGAGGCTATTACCACAGCACAACTGAGATGTAATAAAGTCTAGCTCCATTTTTGATGTCTGTCTGCTGACAATCTTCAGGCCTATCAGTTGCCTTTCCTCTTCCGCCCACACCTGGTCAGCTGGTAAGTCAGAAACTCCTTCCTTTGCACTATGGGCAGTTCAAACTATGTAAAACCTGGCTGGCATATGGAAACCCCTAACCACTACATAACTCCTAGCCAGTTGTTGTCCCCTGCTCTCTCCAGAAAGCCTCATCCACGTGAGTGATAAACAAAACTTTCCACATTCTTTTGTGTATGTGTGGCATCACAGGTAGTGACATCCAACCAATTTTGAGTGTGTGTGTGTGTGTGTGTGTGTGTGTGAGAGTGTGAGTGTGTAGGGAGTCTGTCCTACCACTTCAGATTGACTACATTAGCCTATGTTCTGATACCAGTGTATTTAATAGTAAGATTAACAGTAAGACGATTTGCAATGAGAAACTGGGAATGACCATGATAAAAGAGAATATATAACATTAGCTTAGAGACTGGGCAGCAGGCTACATGAAACCATATACTGGAGGCCAGACGGCTAGCAATCCATGTTTATAGTGGCAAAACTGCCATCTGTGATCTCCTGAAAAGGAGATCAATTTACCTGATAAAGTGTTTTCTCCCATTTCTCTCCATTGTTATGGAAACTAACAATGTTTCAGGTGGCAGAAGCTTTCACTACAGGTTCCAGGGAGATGGCATGTGAACACGATATACATACTGCATGAAAGTGAAGTTAGCCTTTCCTGTTTTAAGTGGCTAACTTCTCAATGTTTGGTACTGCAGTGCAATACTAGCAAGCCATTCTGACTGGTCATAGTGGGATTCTCACTACTGCCTCCTTTCATCCATACTATTGTGGCCCGGGAGCAGTGTGAGGGCTCTATGCAGAACTCTGAGTCTACCTCAAAGAAAAAAATAAGCTGAGTCAGGAGAAGATCCCTGACTGCTGCAAAGCCCAGGCTGTTTGAGGTGAAAAAAAAACCCTACTTTTCATCAAAGGACCAAAAGCAAGGCTAGCATTATTTTGGACAGAGAGCATAGAGACAGAAGATATCTAGAAACCTTTGTCTCTTTGCACTAAAAAAATTAAAACAAGAACTTAGTCCAGAGAGACATACTGAAATTTAGCAGGTTCTAAGATAGTATAGAGCTTTATGTGAAATCAACAAGCTACACACAATATATACTATAGGAGTCCATCTTCATTTTTTAAATACACATTTGTTTCTGTATATATTTGTATAAACAATCTAGATATATACATATCCTAGAATGTTAACACTAGGCAATCTTTGGGATCAAGATGATTTCCATTTATTTTTATCTTTATTTTCTGATATTCTTAAAATGAACATAAATTAAAGTAAAACAAAAGATCTAAAACACTTGTGTGTCATGTACAGAAGATATAGGTGAGGAGATCTCAATTTCCTTAAGGAAAACTTTATTCTCTGACAACAAATAGAAGAACTTTCCTCTTACCACATCTCAAAACAGAATCTTCAATTTTCCTAAAAAATGCTAAATGTATTACATAATCTGATGAGCTCTATCTCTGAACAGTTATTTTAACATTGTAACAATGTATGAGGAGCGTAATTATGAATAACACCTAAAAATATATCAGGCGTCTTTTCAAGTGTGAAAGTCAGAACCCTAAAAATAGCAAGTTCAAGGTCTCTGTGTTAGACTTTTCACTGTTGTAACAAACACTTTAGGAAAACTTAAGGGAGGAAAGATCTATTTTAGTTGTGGTTTCAGAGTTTTCAGTCTATGTTCAACTGTCTCCATTGCTTTTAGGCCCACAGCAAGGCAGAAGCATCAAGGACGAAGGGCAGAGCAAAGGAAAGTTGTTCATTTCATGGCAGCCAGGAAGGGGCCAGGGCCAAGGTACTCCTCAAAGTCATGCCCCAGTTACTTCCTCCACCTGGGCTCCACCCTCCACAGTTCTACCATCTCCCAAGTAATTCAGTATCTGACTCTACCAGTGGATTAAGCCACATCCTCACAGACACACCCACGGGTGTGCTTTATCCATGTCCTATGTGTCTATCAATCCAATCAAGTTGACAATATTATCCACCACACTGCCTGAAGTGAGTTAATATATGAAAGCAAATCACTAAGCAAATGAGAAATATGATTTTAGGAAGAGAGGCATATTCTTCTGACATTCACAAACAGTCCAGTACATTGCTTGTGCTACATCATGGTGGTAGTTACCTCACTACATACGTTTGCCTAAAACTTAGTTAACTATATGCTTAAAACTGGTGAAGTTTGTTTATCATTATTTTTATTATTTGGTGGTAATGGGGATTAAACTAGAGCCTTGCACCTGCTAGGCAAGCTCTGTACTACTAAAGCAATGGCCCAATCCTTTTACTTTTAGTTTGTTCTTCAGAGTGTCTCATATTTTTGCCCAGGTCAGCCTAAGACCACAAACCTCCTACCTGTGCCTATTGGGTAGCTGGGAAACGGGCATGAACCACCACGCCCAGCCCAAAAGTGCTGACTTTTAATGCAAGTAAATTATACCTCAACAAAGCCGACTTTTTAAAAAATCACACTTACATGTTTTTGCTAAAATTTTAGATTATTGACTATTTTATTCAATGGTGTAATTATTTTTAAGAATCAGGTTATATAAATTTAATACAGAAAAACAATCTGCATGTTCTCCTAACTTCCTTACTACCAACACCCAGCAATACTGGTTAAAAATCCATCTGGTTCCTTTCTCTCACTCCAGCCTTCAACAACCATCAAGTCCTATGGACTCTACTTTTTTTCACCCTTTGTGTCTTAGTTCACTTCTTTCTGGGATTTCCCTACAGCCTCTTAATTGATTGATCTGTTTAAACCACCCTGCCTACCAAGCCAACCTCCATAATGCAGAAAAAAATTATCATGCTAAAAAAATACAAAGAATAACAGTGTCAAGAGAAACTTTAAAAACATTCAATTGTTTCAGAGCAAAGTCCATGGTCTGCACTAAAGGCTCTTCAAAATCAGGCCTCTTGATCGATATCAACCCCATCTCAAAGAAAAGCCTATGCTCTATCTGTCAGAGGCCCATCTTCTCCTTTTCTATCCATGAAATGTCTGTGGACCCTTTAAATGCTAACTTAAATGTCATCTCCTCCATTTGCAGAATGCTTTGCACAACTGTCATCTCCTCTGGGGAAGGGTCAACTTTTCCCCACCAAGTGCCAGTGCCTGACTCATGGTAAACACAATGTGGGAACTGAAGAATAAAGAAATAAAAACATTAGAGTGTAAACGCACTTTTACTTTGACAAATGCAAATTAATGCTTTTCTTAAACAAAAAGCTTAGAAGATTTGGTATAGAAACAGTACCTTGTCTACATGGAATATTAAATCCAGTTCACAGACATTTTCAAAACATTTGTCTAATGTTTCCACAAACACCTATGGAAAAAGACAAAAAGAAAAAAATGTTTTTGAGAACTGTGTAAATACATTCAAATTTATTATCTGTAAGCAAGCAATTTTTAATGGTACCACAACTTTTCTAGATCATGTTTTCCTTTTAAAAGCCAAAACTGTAATAAATGCACAAAGAATAAACAAAGACTATTATTTTTCCGTAAACTACTTTTTAATACTTAAGTTTATAAAAACAAACTTTTCTGAAAATTACTAAAACTAGAAAATCTCAGCACTATTACTTATTTTTAGAGAACATTTAAAAGTACTTAAATCAGGTTTTTTACGTTATTCAGGTGATGGGAAAAGCTCATTCAAATAGTTATCAAGAGATGGGCTTACAATCCACGCCCCTATGGCATCTAATGGAGCTAATAATCTTTTAACTAGCAAGCCAGCACAAAACACCATGATAAATTACTTATAGAAAGAACACATACCTCAGATCCAGACTTACCTGGGTTCAAACTCTGTTTGTGTGTTTGCCTGTTTTTGGTGGCATTGGGATTTGAACTCAAGGCCTCACACTTGTTGGGCAGGCAAGCTACCATATGAGCCACTCTGTCTGCTGGGTTCAAACACTAGCTTAAATAACTTGTATGGCTTTGTGTGGGAAAGAGACATCTCAACAGGCCTGGGATCAAACTACAAACAGCCTGTTTGCAGGACCAAACCTTGGCCAAAGCCAGAAAATGAGCTCTGACACTTGGGAATGTTCTCTAAGTGTTTTCTTTGGAGTCTTGGGCTTCACACCACCACTATGAGCACATACTTGTGTTAATGATGTGAACACCTGCTTTTTCTCTAGGGGTCATTTAGTGACACCCGAGTCAGGATGAGCTCTTCCCTGTAGGGGAACACTTTATACTTTATTCTATATTTCAGGGGGACTTAAGCATGCCCCTGTGATGCCTGTGGTACGAGACCTGATACTTGCAGTGTGTTTCCTCTGTATTTCTCACTGTGTTTTTGCTGACTTAACCCTGAATTTTTTCCCTATGATAAGCCACAACCATGAGTCTATAGCAACTTCTGATCATATTAACTCCAGTAAATCATCAAGATGGCCTTGGGGAACCCTGAAAATAAACCTTAAAAATCAGTCTCTTAAATTCCACCTTGCATAGCTGTCAATGACTTGTATTTCCACTTCTACTTTGCCACCCCTCTCAGATACACACAATTTATTATCCATGCTGAGGCAATATTAAGAACACAAAGGAACAGCTATTAATAATTATTAAAATGGTGTGCAATATTAAAGCTGGAATGATAAATGTAGTCCAGAAGTACCTCAGGCAAACTGAAATGTCCAGTCATCCTATTCTTAAGTGATGCTGTGGGGCCAGGAGTAATATCTAAATAGCAGTCTTCTTGCTTTAACTGCTCCAACCTCAGGCCGAATCACACCCCCATGACCCAAGGTTCCTCCCAGGCTAGATGATAAGACATCTGAGACAATGCTGCTATGCAACCTTGTGACTATAATCAACACTCTCCTGGACCACAGATTACTTCCTCTGCACAGGGTCAGACACTAAATATTTCTGGCTTTGAGGGCACATACAGTCTAATTCAGAAACAGCCATAGACAACTGAGCATGATTCTGTGCCAATTATTTATAAAACTGGCAGCAGGCTGGATATGACCTGCAGGCTGCAGGTAGACTTCTAACTTACTCACTAGGAGAAATATCAGGTCTGAAGTAACCAGAATACATACAGCTTTATTCAGAATTTCACTTGTGTGAAATTGCCTTTCCTTTCCCTGTGACACAGCTAGAACCTTGGAATCACCAAAGTCCTGTGTCTCTTTATATGCTAATAAGATTGAGGCATTAGGTTAGGGGTAGTCTGGGACTGCTTTCCCCCTTGACTCAAGAGCTCCTCTCCTTAGCCCACAGATGAGAGCAGTCAGGTGATGATGTATTCCCTCACCACCTCCAAGTTCAAGGTGATATAAAAACAACCTACCAAGAGACCCTGGCCCCTTTTTTCTTCTCTTCCCTCACCTGGCAGAACCGGTGACTCCCCTTCCCTTAATAAAGCTATTCTACCTCATCCCATCCACGTGTTCTGCTTGGATTCTTCCACCCAGAATGCAAGGACCAAGATCTTCTGGAAACACCATTTGGATAACAGGATGGCTGGGGACTTCTGGGTGGCCTCAGGATGAGGGCTGGTTGACTAGAGAAGCAACCCTGTGATTAGAGGGTTGGAAATTTCAATTCTATTCCACACTCCAACCAGGGACAAAGAGGAGCTGAAATGATAAGCTGGTCTTCCTACAATGGAACATCCACTGACAAGCATGAAAGGCCAGGTTCAAAGTCCCTCCAGAGAGCTGAATACATGGAGGTGCCTGCAAGGAGGTGCTTGAAAGAAGGCACAGAAGCCTTGCACCTCTGCCAATACCTTCCTTAGCCATCTCTCACCTGTGTCCCTTGTGATGTCCTTTACAATTAATGGGTAAATGTAAGCCACATGCCTCCCTGAGTTCTGTGTGCTGCTTCAGTGGGTTAATCAATCCCTATAAAGGGGTTATGGAAGCCCCAAATTACTGCGGTTGGTCAGAAGTATAAGTTACAAAACCTACTACTTTCAATTGGCATCTGAGCTGGGGGTCAGTTTTGTGGCCCTCAACCTATAGAGTGTGACAAAAACTTCAGATAAGTCCTGTGTTGTGGCTCAGGCTTGTAATATTAGCTCCTTGAGAGGCTGAGAATAGGAGGATCATGGCCAGCCCAAGCAAAAAAGTAAATGAGTCCCCATCTCAACCAATAGTCGGGCATGGTTGCCCATACCTGTCATCCCAGCTATGCGAGAGGCTGAGATAGGGAGGACTGTGGTCCAGGCTGGCCCAAGCTTCAGGTATTTCTGTAACTTCTCATGTTTACTTTGACAACTTGTACAGCTTTGACTACCTCTATCTTAGTCATTTCTTTTTACCTGTCAAAAATAACTGTTCTGCCGGGGGCGTGGTTCAAGTGGTAGAGCTCCTCCCTAGCAAGCACAAAGCCCTGAGTTCAACCTATATCAACAGAGGGAAAGGAAGAAAAACTGTCCTGGTAAGAATTTCTGACTAAATAGTTTCCCTTAATTCACATGTACTTATAAAAGATTAGCAGAAAGTACTGAGTGAACAGACTGTATATTGGGCAAAAAGAAAACCAATTCTTGAGAACATTAAGTATGTCACTGGTGAACTAACCATGGAGTGTCTGGAAACTGGCTGGCTCCAAAAGCAGTATGGTAAAGGAGTAAAACCGTTAACATCGGGCTACAAATGCCTGCTCTGTGCTACCTTGCTTCATGACCACAACACCATTCAGCTTCTTTTTAATCTCAGAACTGTAAGATGGTGATAAAACCACTTACCTTTCTAGATCATCACAAAAATTTAGTTTATCCACTTAAATACTCACCACAGTTCCCAAAACAGAGTTAACAACTGATAGATGGTATTGTTGAAAAAATGAAATGACTGTGCAGTTAAAATAGAAATATAAGGGCTGGTGGAATGGCTCATATGGTAGTCACACCTGCCTAGCAAGTGTGAGACCCTGAGTTCAAATCCCAGAGCTGCCAAAAATATAATAAAATAGAAAATTCTAGTCTGCTGACAAATACTGATAGAAAAGCAAGGTGTGATTTGCTAGTCAACTTAGAAAAACACTGACCATACTTCATCAGAATACCAACTTGGAAAAACATGGATACTGGAAAAACAAAATGCTTTGCAACAAAACACTGTTGTAACTACATGGTTTTAATTTATTAAAAGAGTTCTTAAGATTTAAAGTACTCAAAGGCTAAGTTCAGTTTAAAAAAATCCAAATCCTCTTCAAAAACTTTCCACTACTTTTCTTTTTGTTTCAGCAAAACATAATTAATATAATTAGAAATCCACAGCCACCAAGGCTGATACAAACTGATCTGTCACATGGAGAAAGCCAACACAAAAACAGTGATCTACAAACTTAAGTAAACAAGTTAAGGAAAAAATGCAAGGGGCATTGGGGGTTCTAATGAAGACCAAAAAAAAAAAAGTAATATTAAAACAACTATAGGATTATCATTTCACAAGGACAAAGACGCAGAAGTGACATGGTAAACAGCACCCTCTTGTGTTTCACCTTTTTAAAAAAGCAATATAAAATTTAAACCTAAATTCAATACTGAATACACCAACAGAGCTAAGGAAGACGGACTGAACTTAAAATCAGATCAGCTGAAGAACAGCCATGAACGTACCGGAAGGTACAGCTGCACGTGCATGCTACAGTCTTTCAGGTACCATGTTTAAGGTGGGTAAATAGAACTCAGATTCTCATATGGGGAGACTCTGGACTGGATACCCCTGAACCTGACATATGCCCATCTTGATAACGCTAGTAACTAGATTCATTTATTGTGCACCTAATACATATTATACTCTCAACTTCAATACAAGGAAATTAAGACTTAAAAGACCACCTGTCTTCTATATCATGTCACAAAGGCTCTGAAAGCTTACATCAACGACTGTTTCTGTGAACTATTTCTTTTTTTAGTAGAATGTCAATGACAGCTAACATTCACATACATGCTATGGCCCCTGTTCCAAGTGCATTAAATAGCAATCCCAGGAAGCAGGTGCTTTTATTATCAATTACTTGCATAAAAGTAATCTGAAGCATACGGTTAACTAACTACTAGCAGTGAGGTGGCAGAGGGCTTGCTCAATCCAAAGTCTCACTGAGGAACCCACATTCTCATTCTCTGTTCATATCCCTCCAATCACTAGTATTATATTTTTAATGCAATATTTATATATGTATATTAATATATTCTTTATTAATGTATTTCAAGTATGTTTCTAAATATAGGAATGTAGAAATCTGGGAAAATACAGAAATGTTGCAGCAAAAATTTAAACTATCCATACTTCTATCACCCACAAAAATATACTGTTAACAGAAAATTCCACTTTCAACTTCTTT